ATGAAGGAGGAGCTGGGGACTGGTCAGTCTCTCTGCACAATGCTCAGCAATTCTGACCACATGCGCTGCTTCTGCACGCAAGCCCTGCCTCCAGAACATAGCTCCACCTCCCACACACAGACCCCACCCCATGCATGTTGCTGACCTGGCTGGAAGGAAGAGGCCACAAAATGGCAACTGCACCCACCAGTGCCAGGTATGCTTCAGTCATGACAGTGATTGTGTGTGTGTGTGTGTGTGTGCCTGCTAGTGAGTGAGCTTGTCTGTGTGTGTTTGCCTGCTAGTGAGTGAGCTTGTGTGTGTGTGTGTGTGTGTGTGCCTGCTAGTGAGTGAGTCTGTGTGTGTGTGTGCCTGCTAGTGAGTGAGATTGTATGTGTGTGCTTGCCTGATAGTGAGTGAGCTTGTGTGTATGTGTGTGTTTCTGTGCCTGCTAATGAGTGAGTCTGTGTGTGTGTGTGTGGGGGTGTGCCTGCTAGTGAGTGAGCTTGTCTGTGTGTTTTGTGTGTGCCTGCTAGTGAGTGAGCTTGTCTGTGTGTGTGTGTGCCTGCTAGTGATTGAGCTTGTGTGCGTGTGCCTGCTAGTGAGTGAGTCTGTGTGTCTGCTAGTGAGTGAGCTTGTGTGTGGGTGTGCACCTGCTAGTGAGTGAGCTTGTGTGTGTGTGTGTGTTTGCTTGCTAGTGAGTGAGCATGTGTGTGTATGCCTGCTAGTGACTGAGTCTGTGTGTATGTGTGCATGCTAGTGAGTGAGTCTGTGTGTATGTGTGCCTGCTGATGAGTTGCGTTAACAACGAAACTGCTGTCCATGAGTGGTTCACTGGCTTTTCTCCTCAAAGCTGTTGTATACAGCCGACACATACTCCAACGAAAACATGTATAAAGTGGAATTATGAGGCAAAAGTCTTATGGCTTGACTGGTGTTTGAATTTGTGCTTAGCAATGTATTAAATATATATATATATATATATATACATACATACAATAACCGATAATCTGGCACTCTGCCCAAAAGTAAATATAAAGAAAACAATATTCTTTGGAATATATATATATATATATATATATATATATATGTGTAAGAGGCTATGTCTTGCCACCCCAGATGATTTAATAATATAAGAGCTATATATATATATATATATATATATATATAATATGTGTTTATATAATATGTGTTTATATATTGCTTAATCATCTGGGCTGGCAAGACATAACCTTATATATTACATGTGACAATACATGGCGCAATGGCTTATGGGGCTGGCATAGATTTTTTTTTTCCATGGCTGCTTTGTATCCCCAGTCCGGCCCTGATAGCAAGATTAACTGTGTTCAATTTGCAATTTAAACTGCTTAAGGACATTTAACCACATACACTTGTGCTTCAGCAGTGCTTAGCATTTGGAAAGCTCTATTGGCTGTTTGTCAAGCTGTTTGCCATTTTGTTATGCATGAGCATGTCTTCATCATGGATGGTCACATTGTCCATGATATCAGTAGCATTGAAAGCACTCCTGTTTTATTTTTAGCATGTATCAAGGTTAATTTTATATCTATCATATAAAAATTGTGTTGCTACTTATTGTGTATATTTATATACATAGAAAGAAAGTGAGACAGACAGACAGACAGGCAAACAAACAGACATGCATATAAATCATAATTTTGCTTATTTTGTCATTATAATACATAGAGCAGTTTATTATTTTAGCAGGTGGAAGAGCAGAAATAGAAATGTGCATTTGTATTCTTTGATACAGAAATGGAAATTAATTTTCTTGTTCAGTCTGTGTTAAATGGCCTAAATAGTCTACTTTATTTTTTTAATTGATTTACATGGCAGTAACAAAGAATGCATTTACTTCAGAACATAAATATTGTGTTGAAAAAATTTAATCAGTATTATTAAAATGAAAGAAATGAACCACTATGTTTTTCTCTTTAGATAAATTAACACATTAAATTTTATATTAAAAATGAATTCCAAGAAGCAAGTTCTTTTATGATGTCTTTATTATGTTGGAAATCATGATTTTGTTTGTATTTTTAATTTTTTGAGAGCCCTGGTAAAACCATATGCTGCTTCCTTTGTATATGTCTGACTACAGCAATAGTAGATGCAAGGTCACCCTTGTGTCACCTTGTGTCCAGCAGGGTCTCTATCCAGGGTCTCTAACACTTTATGGATCATTTCTTCAGTTGCTACAATTCAGTCTGTGGTCTTGTAAGTAACATCTTCCTTCTGACATCTCAATGATTTACCAAGCTTATCAAACACTACCCTCATGGCATTATGATGATAGAAACAACTGTGTCATTGATTCCAGTATAGGGTTCATTTATCTGGTGGTCAACTGGTTTTTCACGACCTTTGGAGATATAAGGGGTGACATACAGAGTGGCAATTAGAACTTTCCTGGGAGAAATAGTTAGTGTTACCTCCAACTCTATTCAACCACTTATTTCTTATCTTTCTTTTTCTCATTTGCTGTCTACCATCATCGTTACGTTCTCAGGTACACAAAGAAATAGACTTTTGAGTGCACCTGTTAGTGACATAACATTAATGCATAATGAATTTCATGCCATTTGTGTCTATGAAGCCAGCATAAAACACGACTAGGTTTATCAGTTGTTTGTAATAATATTCACAAGGCTGGTGTAATATCCTTGAATGGTAGAGAACACTATCAGCTTAGTCTGCTTCTGTCATTTTATTCAATTAATGGGAGTAGACTTAAGAGCTTACTGAAGATACTAACACCCCAAATATTAAAGGTTCATTAAATAAAAAAATGGAAACAGTAAATGATTAAATTAGATTATTTTCAATTATGCTGCTTCTTCAGAGACTATTATCAAAAACAATTACTATTTTCCTAAATCCATATTTCACAGCTCTTCATAATTAAACTGCTGGATGTTATACCATTAAAACTTGACTAGCAATGAGGCCATTTAATCATACATGTATTTATTTTGTTTGGTCACATGTACAAGACTGTTATGCTATTGTGCTTCCGAAATCCCAATGAAAGGAACCACTATAATGTATTTTTTGTTCTGAGCTCCACAATTGCCTCTTGATTATGCATGTGATATCATAACTAGCCTCTGTTTGCTTTTCATTTGGATTAGATACACACAGCCTAAATGTTTGCTAAAGATTTCAGTTCCCACTGGGAAAAAAAAGGAAAAATATATATTTTTTAGATATGATAGAAAAAGAAATGTAGGCAATTTTAGTAATATTTGCTTAAGAAATGTCTGTACACTTTGTTTATTCATAGTGTACCAAGAGACAGTCTACATTTCTTCTTTCAATGAAAGAACCGATCCACTATTAATGCAAAAAGAAAATGTATCTGTACAATTTCTGGAGTTCTTTTGAAGAAAAAGAATTGGGAAAATACAAAAGCTACTGGCATATAAATAAATTACCAAGGATAATTTGAAAATTAATGTTTTGGAAGAAATTATAGAAAATGTAGCATTCACATAATAGCACTGCAGAATAATTTCCAAAGATATCACTGATCATTTATTTACGTGAACTGCTCAACCCAAGCATGAAGCTTTTTTTCATAGGGAAAGGAAAATTAATTCAGTAAGACAATGGGTCTTACAAATCTCCCAACAACATTCAATCAAATAATACATAGAAAATTGCAGTATAAATAGTACGATGATTTAGATTAATTCTGTGGTATGTATATACATAAATAAATATAAAGAATTTAGATTTTAAATAATTAGGCCAATGACTGTTTTGGGTCATAGAATAGAATTATACATGTGGATTTTAGAAGAGTCGTTATATTTTGTATTATGACAGTAGATTCAATTTCATAGAGCTATATGTTTTACAGATAAATCGCAAATAGCACATTTCAGATATCAGTTCATTGACTGATGAATAATTTTTGGGAAATTGCATGCAGACAAATGATTTTGGGATCATTAAGTTCAATGAATTGTAATTGCACATAAGATCCACAGGCAATATTTGTTTCAGGGTGTAATGGCATAATATCCATTATTTTAATAACCACGGGACATGGCGTATGGAGTTAGAAAATTTTAAATTGTTGTTGATAATAGTTTCTGCTCTAGAAACAGTAGTGCGGTCTTTAATTTAAGTACTTGCTGTATGTCCACCTCTCATGCTATACCAAAACTCCTTTAATTTGATGAACGTGATGCAACTTACTGGCAGTGGTGTAAATAGAGAAGAATTTGCTGCTTACTTTAAACACACTGTTTTATTAATGCAGTTTTGTTAAAGAGCAGTGTTACAAACAAACAAAACAATAAGCTCAATTTAAATGCCTACCTCAGGCACCACATTAACACAGCTCTAGAAAACACTACACACTTTCTCACACACCTACTTTGTTATTTTTTTTAATTCATATAACTCTGCTATATACCTAAGAAAACAAAATTAAAACAACAGAATCATTTCCACCATACTATCTTATAGATCAATGCAATTATTTTTATTATAATTCCACTTTGAATAATAATTTAACAATTGATGACAATCTTCTGACAATGGGTTCAGTTTAATTGTTTTGGATACACTTTTCAAATGTTCGCTGTCTGTTAGAAAAACTTTTGATTTATCTGCAGAAATTCCCATGCTTTAAAGATGATTTATGTAGATAAATACTTGGAAACATAGCTTTTTCTTTTAATAGATAGTGATCATTAAAAAAAAATCTTATAAAAGGAGCGTGTCCTGGATGCAGACCGGAGCAGTTGCATGCTGTAAATAGTAAATAGGCCATAAAACTGAGTAATTGGCTTAAGAAATCAGCCAGAACTGCAAATTTCGCAACCCAAATGTAAACGTGTCATGGAGAGTCAGAAGAAAGACAATTTATTTGCCTCTCGGTTGACTTTAGGCAAAAGTTTGCCGCACACCGAGGTCAGCCAAGATGGCGCTGGAGTGGACTCGGACCTGTCCCAAAGCCCCACGGAACTCGATACCCCAATTACCAGTGTATTGCTCCAAAAGATGCTGAACGAAATGACCTCAAAGATAACGGCAAACTTACAGTCTGTGGTGAATGACCTGCAGAAAGATTTCCAAGAGCTGGGCACGAGAACTTCTGCTAACTAAGATAAAATGGTACCCATAATGATATGGCGGGAAAAATGGAGGGCCTTATTGCACGTATGGACCTCTATGAAACTAAGCTGGTGGATAGCGAGGACCGAACTTGCAGAAATAATCTCTGAATTTGCGGGATAGCCGAAGCAGTGGGGCTTAACAAGCTAACTAGGTATGTTACTGGCCTCTTGCAAGCCCTGGCTCCAGACTTACCAAGTGATATGTTCCTGATGGACCGCTGTCATCACACTGCTAAGTCGCAGTTTTTGGCACCTGAAATACCACGCGATGTTCTGGAGAGGATGCATTATTACCATATAAAGGAGGCAATACTGAAATCATACAGAGTGAGTAAGACCTTGCCGCAGCCTTATGAGGGAGAACCTTTTATATGTAGACATTTCAGCATTTACATTTAAAAGAAGAAGAGAGTTTCAGGAAATCATGGGAGCCTTACGCAATGATCACATGCCATATCACGGTGAAGCTTCTGGTGCATAGGAATGGAAAAGTCGCTGTAACGGATCACCTGGCACCCCGACTGGGTACCTCCATTGAAGGATGCTTACAGAGGGCTCCAAGCGCTCCACAGACACCACAACCACCGCAGACCCCACTAACCGCCGCAGCTTGGTTGGGGTCTCACCGTCTCCTACCCACCCTGGACCTACGACAAGGCTCCAGGTTACAGTGGGTGAACCTCTCCTCCAAGACAGTGAAGCAGGAACAAGCTCTTAAAAGTGCTTAGTAGTGATTAGCTAAGGGAGTATGCAGAGCATATAAATTCCTTGTAGTGATATAGCAATTCCTCCAATAACAGACAGGACTCTAGATTGAGGGTGAAGAAGAACTGATTGTACTGGCACATACAGCCTCTTTTATTCACATTCTACAAACATAGTGCTGCCCACAGGCTTTTGAAGAACAACCAATTAACACATTACAACACAGCTGACACTCCCATTCATTACATCAGAAATCCTCCCCTCTGCCTGTGATACAATTATCTCAACACAACAGACTAACTTAATTATCACAGGCAGGAAAATACAGTATTATAAAACATATCACAGGGACCCCAAAACATGCAATAACCCCATAAAATAACATATATATCCTCTGAACCGGGGGATCTGGGTGAACCACATATCCAAAATTCACCCAGATCGGTTCAGTAGTTTGGAAGATACGGTTTAATGCAGATTACGCAGAACATATACATGCTATATGAAAAATAATTACTGTTAAATGTGTCACCTGTTCTGTAGTTTAAAACTACTGAACGATGTCTTTGTGCACCAAATACTGGCGAGATGGCACCGTGTAGAAAAGTCAAAACAGTGTCTGTAAGTTAAAATGGCCGCCATCCATTGTTCTCACCATGTGCCTCTGATACATGAAATGGTGGCCACCCAGTAACTCCACAGTATGTCCCCAGATGGTTCTTAAAGGGCCAGCAGCAGCATAATAAAATACAATATGCCCAAATCAGTTCCTTAAAGGGCAATACATCCCAGGGCCATAGTCGCAGGGCAGGAGGCTGGCAAACAGGCCCCTCCAAAAACCAGTGGCGAGGTCACTTTCGCCACAGTCACCACGATAACATCGCCAGAAGAGGGATTAAAGGTGCTAAGGAACTGGGGCCTGGAGCTTCCCGAGTCACCTCGGACATCACAAGCAGCAGTCAGACTCTCGCCTAGCTGGACGAAGACCCACCGTCGGAAACATAAGGCACAGCGCAATCTGCCTACACCCAACAATCCTTAATACTCTGCATGAATACCAGATAGAGACTAAACAACGCTAACCCTACCTCCACCTATAGTACACAAGGCACCCACTATCTCCCTATCTCCTCCCCTGTATTTTGATGGTAATATTCAAGAATGCCAGGGATTTCTTAACCAAATGGAGTATCATTTTGAGGCCTCACCGGAATCTTTTCCCACAAATAGAGCTAAAATTGGTTACCTAATGAATCAGTTAAAAGGTAAAGCTTTAACTTGGGCCAATCCATTATGGGAGAGTAATAGGAGTGTGGCACACAATTACCAGGAGTTCCTTACGGAATTCAAACTTATGTTTGAAACTTTAGGCAGAGGGGATGACGCCTCTACTGCCCTGATGCATATCAGACAAGGGAACCGGTCTATCTCGGAATATGCCATATAATTTCGTACCCTAGCTTCCGAGGTAGACTGGACTAATAGTGGGTTAATCTCTGCATTCAAAATGGGACTATCTGAAACCATGCTAGATGAGATTGCCGCCAAAGACTTACCCAAAAAGCTTAATGAATTTATCACTTTTGTGAATTTGTCATGCAGATTGATAATATATTGAGAACCAGAGAGGCTACTAGAAACAAGACCAGACGCATGAGTATGCATTTAGCACCCTGTTTCTCCAGACCTATTGTCCCTGAAATTCCTGTACAGTCCGAACCCGAACAGTTGAGGGTCACTAGACTGTCGGGAGCAGAAAGACCATATAGAAGAAAAGAAGGCCTGTTCCTATACTGCGGTAGGAAGGGACATATTAGAAACAATTTTCCTATACGTCCGGAAAACTACCGCACCTAAGTACCTTAAGGGGACAAGTCTTAGGTGTAATGGAAACGTCCTCTGAAAAGAATAAAAATAGGTTTCTCCTTGACATTTCTATTGCCTTTGACAAAAATAACTTTTCATGCAAAGCCCTAATGGATTCAGGTGCTGCTGGAAACTTCATCAACGTTAATTTGTCAATTTGTCAATTTGATCGTTACTATACCCCTAGCTGTTGAAGCTATTGATGGGAGACCACTCTCACAACCATCGATAACACATGAAACCTTACCCATTAATATTTCCATTGGTGCCTTTCATAAGGAAATGATTACATTTCAGGTGATTGCATCTCCTTCTTGTCCTATCATATTAGGATTTCCATGGCTTAGCAAGCATAACCCTCATATTGACTGTGCTAATGGGGAAATATTATAATGGGGTAAGGATTGTAATGAAAGGTGCATATTGCATGTCACCAAAAGAGTGGGCACTTTTGAATTACCCACTAGTACACCTCAAAATTCCGAGATCCCTATACAATACCAAGACAGTATTCAGCAAGACTCAGTCTAATACTCTACCTCCTCACAGACCATATGACTGTTCCATTAACTTACTACCAGGCGCTATGCCACCTAAGGGAGCAGCCTCAGGAGAGTAGTGTAATGGAGGAATATATTAAAAATTAATTGAATAAAGGCCATATACGAAAATCATCCTTGCCTGCTGGTGCAGGATTCTTTTTTGTATCTAAAAAGGATGGTGAGTTGTGCCCATGTATTGATTACAGGGCATTGAATAAAATGACCATTAAGAACGCCTACCCCATTCCTCTTATTGCTGAATTATTTGACAGACTCCAGGGCGCTAAAGTGTCTACTAAGCTTGACCTTAAAAGCGCTTACAATTTAGTGAGAATCAAGGAAAACCACAAGTGGAAAACTGCATTTAATACCAGAAGTGGACACTATGAATATCTAGTGATGCCATTCGGGTTGTGCAACACTCCAGTGGTTTTCCAAGATTTCATTAACAATGTACTCAGGTATTACATTTACTTGTTTGTCTTGGTCTATATGGATGATATCCTTATTTATTCTCCTGATCTCCAGTCTCACCACAATCACGTTAAACAAGTTCTGCAAACCTTGTTAAAAAACCAACTTTATTGTAAATTGGAAAAATTTATCTTTGACCAGTCTGAAATACAGTTTTTAGGATATAATATTTCTGCCTCGGCATTTCAGATGGATCCTAAAAAACTAGAGTCTATTCTACAGTGGCCTTTACCCACTGGGTTGAAAGCCAATCAAAGGTTCATTGGTTTCGACAATTATTACAGAAGATTTATAAAGGCATTTTCTTCAGTAATAGCCCCCATCACCAATATGACACACAAGGGGGCTAGTAAACCTTTGAAACTCTCAAAAGGCGGTTTGCCTCCGCTGACATATTGATACATCCTGACACCAGTAAGCCTTTCATACTGTAGGTTGATGCTTCAGAGACAGGGGTAGAAGAAGTTCTCTCCAAGAGGGAGAGCCAGGAAACTCTGTTACATCCTTGTGGTTACTTTTCTAGAAAGTTGTCTCCTGCTGAGCACAATTACAATATTGGCAATAGAGAATTGTTGGCCATTATTCTAGCTCTCAAGGAGTGGTGACATCTTTTAGAGGGTTCCAAGGACCCCCTTTTGATCATTACTGATCACAAAAACCACGCTTACATAGGAGATGCCAAGCGATTATCTTCTAGACAAGCTAGGTTGTCTCTATTTCCTTCTCGCTTTAATTTTCTTATCACTTATAGACCTGGTTCTAAAAATGTCAAGGCCAATGCCTTGTCCAAGCAGTTTGATACTGAGGCTATACTAGAGCAAGAAACGTCCCATATCCTTCCCCCGGAATGTATCATTGCGTCCACTGTCCTTTCATTGTTCTCTCCACTGCTTGGCTCCATCATGGAGGCTCAGTCTCAGGCGCCCTGCAGTAAACCTCAGGACAAACTGTTCGTTCCATTGGGGGAAAGGGTTAATATCATGAAGGTGTTTCACAATGTGACAATGTGTCTGCTGGTCACCCAGGTAATAAATCCACTTCTGCCATCATGAGGTCATTCTGGTGGGTTTCCCTCAGGAAGGATGTTAAGGAGTATGTGCAGGCTTGTTCTGTTTGTGAGGTTTCCAAAGTGCCTCATAAACTCTCTAGTGGCTTGTTACAACCTCTTCCTCTTCCTGAGGTCCCATGGTCCCACTTGTCCATGGACTTCATTGTTGAACTTCCTAGTTGTAATGGTTATACCACTATTGAATTGAATTGTCTTTTTCATCCTCTTACCACCCCCAGACCAATGGTACAGCTGAGAGGGCTAACCAGTCCTTGGAATTATATTTGCGTTGTTTCATTAATAGCACTCAAGACAATTGGTCTGAATTACTACCATGAGTTTGCTAGGAACAATGCTGACCATGACTCCTCTGGGCATAGTCCATTTTTTGTTAATAATGGCCAGCATCCTACTGTCCTTCCGGCTGTTTTTCTTTTCTGATACGGCTA